GGGGGGGGGGAAGTGTTGTGTGTGTGTGATGGTGTATTTGAAAGCACATTGCAGATAGCTCCACTACAACACAGTCGTACTGCGACCATCTACTTCCCAGGACAAAACCATGTACAAAGACTTGAAAACAATTCTTAATTTCTTACATAAATCTTTAGTGGACAGACCGATTGTCAGAAGGGTGGAAGACTTTCGTTTTTTTTTTTTTTTTTTTTTTTTTAAGGAGCTGCAGTTGCGAGGAATTCGAGTCTCGGCATACCTGCATGTGGCCCGTACAGTAAGCATGTGCCCGTCCTAAGTGAAGGCGGCCTGAATTTGTCAATTTTGCAAAGTCATGGTGGGCGTGAGACAGTTGCCATGCCCCAGTTGGTTACATCCGCCCTGCTCGTGAAGATCAGAAACATTCGTGAGACTTCCAGGCTATTCTGGAAACTCAGTCAAAGCAGGGCACACTTCATGTTTGTGTGTGGGTGGTTAGGCAGGCCAGAAACAGTAAGCATGTGCCCGTCCTAAGTGAAGGCGGCCTGAATTTGTCAATTTTGCAAAGTCGTGGTGGGCGTGAGACAGTTGCCATGCCCCAGTTGGTTACGTCCGCCCTGCTCATGAAGATCAGAAACATTTGTGAGACTTCCAGGCTATTCTGGAAACTCAGTCGAAGCAGAGCACACTTCATGTTTGCGTGTGGGTGGTTAGGCAGGCCTAACCAATTCCGTCCCAGGCCACTGTCTGAACGGACCTGGGCGTAAACACTTTGGCCCGACTCGAAGCTAGAGGGCACATGTGTGATCCAACCCAGCAGCATAGCAGGCAAGCACTTCCCATTTAGGAAAGAGCTCACCACTGGAAGAGGCATTTAGGCACTTGGGTGAGCATGCGGCAGCGCTGCTTGAGCGTGTGCTCACCTGCTAGCACTTGCTAGGTGCAAGAACGCGTGCGCGGTCGTGGAAGAAGGGCGCTGCAAGAAGGCAGCGCCATAGCCCAGCCCTCATAGCCGGGCTTGGGCTTGGAAGGAGGTCAGCGGGGTTCGGCAGTGGTCTTCAGTTGTTGTAGAGCCGTGGGAGGAGAAAACGAGGGTGAGCAAGAGAGGGCGAGTGAGGGAGATGATGTGAGGGCACATACCTGGTCTTGGCTGAGGTCTGCATGATTGACATCTGCATGTACTTCGGTTGCTGCTGTTGACGTCAACTGGTTGCTTCATCATTTTGTAGGCGAGTAGTGTGGGTGTGTGATTGTAGTCTGGGCGCTGAGCGCCAATAAGAGGAAGGGATTCAATTACATTGTTGGTGGTGGCGAGTGTATGCTTTCATCATTTCATCAACGATTGAGTTCACTGCTTTGGTTGTCCTTTGGTGTAACATCAATGGACAGCTTTCGACTATCTGGCTTTCCATGTGATATTGCAATCTGTAATTCTGTCATTTCGCTATTGCTCATTTTCCTTGCAATTTGGTATCAGAGCTGGTTCGAGCCGCTCTGCTGGCTCCAGTGCAATTTCTGTTTGGTGCTTTGTCGTGGAATGGCGAGGCAGTGATAAGGCTTGTACGTTGAATTGAAGGCGGCCCTGTGTCGAGAGGCCACACCAGGAAGGCTATGTGGTGACATTGGGGTGTATGTTGGATGATGAGAGCTTGCTGACATGGCATTTAAGCCGAGGGAAGTTCAGGGAACTGGATTGTATTGTGGGTTGTGCCGAGGCACCGACCGGTCATCATAAATGCACATCAGGTTTCCTGGTGAGAAATCTGTGGTTGGGGGCAGCATTATGAGGTATGTTGCTCCTTACCTTATCTACCCTCTTCGTCGCTTCTTACCGTGAGGAAGTGAGTCCTGGTATTGAGAGTCCTCTCATTACAAGGTGTCACGAGCTCAACCTTGAGAGTCGGCATTCTTCCTGGGGAGCATGCTGATGGGAGACGGGCGTTGCCTCTGAAGGGCCCTGGACGAAGCACTTTGGTCACAGTCAACATGCCAACCCACTGGGAGTAGAGCACACATGCTTTGCTGCTTGTCCTTTGGTCTGCTTGCTGCACTGTAGAGGTTGTGTCAGGCAGGTCAGCCCTATGGGGGAGAGACGAGTACCAGACCGTCTATAAAGAGACCCCGACGGGGATACACGACTCGCACTGTACGCAAGTATAAAAATAGTATGGACAGGGCTGGCCAGTTCTGCATTAACTTGGGGCACAGGGGTGGGCCGTGTGCACACCTTCAGACATGCTGCTCAACCAGGGCTTTCAGGACGTTGACGCTAAGTGACACTCAAGAAAGATTAAGGAGGAGGGAAGGTTCCAGTTAACTGCTCAATCATTAATTATTGTTTTTATTTCCATTCAACATGCATTCCAGGCTTTTCCAGCAAATGATTTTATTTTTATTTTTGATTAGTTAGTTGTTATGGACTCTGCTGACAACTAACAGACTTTTGCAGGTAGAGTAGAAAATTATTCTTTTAAAATCTTTTTTTTTTTTTTTTTTAATCAAACCGAGCTCATTCATTGCAATAGAAACCTTGAGGCCGGGGTCCTCACAGTCTACCTGGTATATAACCATCTAGTCCTTGGATTGCTGTTGCATATTCTGCTCCTGTAGCAGCAGCTGCTGCTGTGTTTGGTGGATCAAATACAGCAACAGAAAGGACGAGACTGACCAATACAATCATCCGACCAACTGCCCTCCTACCTCGGAGGGGAGGTACCTAAAATAGTTCCAGCGAACCAATAATGCTCCCTCCAAACCCCTCTTGCCACTATCTACTGCCTTCCTACCAGCGGGAAAAAAAAAACGACCATCCAGGTTATTAAGCTTCACCTAGTGGACTCTCAAACAAAACACTACAAATTAACCCGGGCACTCTTTACTTAGACATAGAGCAAACCCCGCAGTTCAAAGGTTTCAACCTATTCTTCTTCTCACTAATCAGAAAAGCCTCTCTGTGGATGATCTGGAAAAGGAGGTGCGACCTGACTTTCAATGATCACCCTACTAATCACGAAAACCCCCTCATAACTATCAAACAACTAATAGAAACTGAACTCCACGCCCTCTGGCAAAAAAACTCAGAACCAAATACAAAACGCCCCTGACAAAAAGCTCGAGAGTATTAAAAGATTTACGGTGGGAAAACTAGGAGGGGGAAAGCTAGGCAAGATAGAAGGAAACAGACTAGTCTTGAAAGACTGGTTCACTCTGCCAATCAACAGTATCCAGGTCCTAGGGAACCCTCCACTCACAACCAGACTACAATCTGAGGCGCAACACAACCACGGACCATATGACAGTCACAATGAACAAATCTAACTATCCGACAATAAAAGGGGTCACCCTTCTTAGGTGCTACATTAGGAAGACACGCTGGAACCGGTTCTCAGCCAGTGTCTAATATGATAATGATTCCAAAACCCCCGCAGGTTAAAAGGTGGTCTAAAGGCAGGGCTAGAACTTGCCAAGCTTGCAGCGATACAACTACAAAAGTCTATCAGACATCAATAAAAAAAAAAGAAGGCTAAAACTCAGTCTAAGGCTAAAGAGCACTACAGTACATAGAAAGGTAAGGCTAGGGTCATAGATAAGGGCGCCGATGAAAGCGGAACTAGCTTTACCAGCAATCCACACTGATCCAACAGCCATACAGCTGAGAGGAAAAGCTAAAGTCAGCCCATATAGGCAGGCCTTCAGCAACTACAAGATAGGTCCATAAGTCCGAGAGGCTTCCCAGCCCAAGAGTACGTCAAGCA